TCTTGTAAAAAACTGGTTATTATGAAGTTATTTTAAAATTTGCAAGTTCAACCGTTTGGTTTCCTTTAGCGAACAAACAAACGGACTTCCTCTTTTATATATATATAGATAGATAGATTCTTCAAGATCTTGTTTTTGTCACCTTACGCCTCTTAATGAAGGTGGGAATATTGACAGGGAAATAATATAATAGCCAATGCTCGGCGAGGGGTTTTCGTTTATAAAATTTTGTTGTTCTCGACTTGATTTCCATTTTATTACCTCGTCTTCATAGTTACTATTTGCAAATAGTCAATAATATTGTAGGTCCATTTTATTGTTGTTCTTTCTACGCGCCGTTATAACATATTTTCATCTCTTTATTTCATTTCTGTTGTGCATATATTGTTGTATGTTTATTACAAAAAAAATGGCGCAGTATTGATTAATTGTCAATTTCGTCATTAAATACTACACCAAATACAAAATGTATAGCACCATTAAATTTCTTGTAAAAAAACTGGTTATTTGTAAGTTCAACCGTTTGGTTTCCTATAGCGAACAAAATAAACAAATAATCAAACTTCCTCATATATAGATGAAAAGAATAACAGTCTCATACCTACCACCAAGGGGATATTATAACCGAAATACTTAATATATAAAATGCCTTTGTATCTTTTGATTGGTTAGAATATCCAGCAGCTTTCACAACCCAATATATCGTGTATTGATAAACATTTGTATTAAAATACAGTAGGCATCATTATTTCTCTCAGCATGTCTTAATAAACCAATTAGAGGAAAGGTGGGTTGGAACTTTCCCTCCAAAAATAAGATATAATTTAATAATAACTGAAATACCCCTCTTTACAAATTTCATTGTATAGTATAGAAGGATCTCGTTTTAGTATCGAACTCTATATTTTGCAAAATATGTACATATATGAATATTAACGTGGCTCTTTATTTCATAGTAGTCTAGCTTCGAAGTGTGTGTGCGTGTGTTGTCAAATATTTCTATGAAAGCTTTCAGTTGTTTTGTTTTTTCTACTCGTATTGCATAATATTTCGTATCATTATTCATTCAGTTCATTCCCCTAATCTTTACTTTTTGACCAATCTTCGCAGAGGCCTTAGAAATAAAACTATTTACCCTACCGTATGTTCTCGGTGAAATAATGAATAAAATAAAAAATTTAAGACATAAAAATAAACAACTCTAAAACTGCCTTCTCATACTTTGTTTACAAAAGTCATTTTTTGTTTTTGCTGACAGAGAAACTTAAATTGTAAAGATACTAACATAGTGTGATTTCGAAATTTATTCTCATTAGAGCGGTGTTGTAGAGATCAAGTGTGATTGTTTCGGTTAATTTGTCATACATAGTAACACTCCTATACCATGCAATTAGACGGAAACGGTGCCTGAATCTTCTGTTTACATTCCAAAGATACAGACCAGAGTGAAATAATAAATTGTGCATGTTACATTTTCAAAGATAAATTCAATAATATATTTTATAGCTCTTGGCTTACATAGTTACTTGGCCTTCGTTCACAACTGTGAAGCACCTGACAGCAGAGTTAGCCAGTAATTATCAACATGCATGTAAGAGAAATGTCTTAGTTTGTTGTTTTCTCGCACGGTGCGAACAATGTGTTGGCCACTTTCCAAATAGGAAAACATCTGAGGGAGCTGATAATATTGGCTATTAGTCGTACAGAGAGAAGTTCCGTAAAACGTAAAATAAATAAATAAACTATGGAGACAGTATTTCCTTCCAATCATCACTAACGGTTTTTCCGTTCCTACGTCGACTCCCCAACTTGTTTAGTAGAATATGTAAAGCAAAAACTCGAGTATAAATGTATACACTTCCAGTTCGGCATTACCGGCTTCAGAAACTGTCAGTAGAAAACCATGTGCGGGCCCAAGGTCAGTGGAGAAAAAAAAAAACTCGTAGCTTGACGCTTGCGACCTTTGCACGATCGTCGTGTACGTGTACTGATGCGTACAAGTAAAGATGCCCAGACTACGAAAGGAAGTTTTTCAAAAAATATTGGTTTGGCTAAAAATGGGTATTTTTAGCTGCACTGGTATACGTTCGACTGACTCGATTCTATTACCGTCACCAACTTCTTAAACGTTAGCGTTTGTAGATATTTAGTTAAAATCAGTTTCGATATACAAGTTATAACATCAATTACAGTTGAAGTAATTTATAGGTTAGCAGGGTTTTGTTACTTAAAGACGACAGGTAAACTTTGTTGGTTAAATGTTTGAACTAGTTGTAAATGCTACCTGACTGTAGACGTTTAGTTTTTTTTAAAGAAAATGAACAGATTTCTCCAAGTTAATTATTTTAAATTCCAACGTTCAGTGCGGAACTATTTGAGATTATATGAATCTAACTTGATCATCTAAGCCTCGTGATGTCTATCGCGCTGAGGTAGAACTCGAAATTGGACCCAACTGATGAAACAATGCATTTTAATCTTTTAAATGATTAGAAGTGTAAAAGTATACTTGATTAGGTATACGGACTGCCAGGTTAATTTCTAGTCTACCTACTAGGTTGCTCTGATCGGAAGTTAATATCAATTGCACTTGTAATAAATATTTCTTGTATGGTGAAACCTCCACTTATTATATAACATATTCCTTTTGTTGCTATTATTTGTCTTCGTAATTTTCTTTAAAATTGTTATTTCAAGAAAATTAAAATATTTACAAACTAGCCAGAATAATGCGTAATAGGAAGACCATTACATCTTTCTTTATAGGTTTAGTTTGTCACTAAAGATTTTCTCCAACATCTGTATAATCGGCATTCTTAACATTTTTTATTTGTTTTGCAGAAATTGGTTTGGATATATAAAGATGTACTTACATTTTTAGTATAGAGCATTGAAGCAATTTGGAATACTTGCTTTTAATCATGAAATCTTGTTTTTAGGTTAGTGTAGGAGCTGCCGACGAATTCTTTGTATTATAAAACATTTCCACGTAATGTTGGTGTTAGCTATGTAAAAGCTTAACATTTAGATAGATACCTTTGGCCAAAGATCTCTAACCCAAAATCTTCGTCGAAGGAACACTTAGAGCTGTTTTATTGTAATTATTTGTAGAATAATCAAATACCGATTCTCAGTCATGATATTTTCATTCATATGAAGATCGGTTTGCCTGAAGAATAACGTCAGCCTTGTAAATATGCTGAAGCAATAACTTCATATTCTTATCAATCACTGATTGTTGTAAAAACGTTTATTTCTTGTTTTGTAGGGGGTGTACATTCTTTCGTGTGTAGTTTAAGCAGGGATGAAGGAATTGAAAAAGTTTCCTCAAATAGCGGAGGAATCGGAGGAGACACTTCTAAACTTGAGGGAGGAAGATGAAAAGTCAGAAAATACGTCATCGCAAGGCGAATCAGACTCCACAAGTTCTTTCAGTTCTTCGACAAAAAGCTTTGTGGTAAGGAATCATGTTTGTCGATCTTAGCGCCATCTTTTGGCTATATCTTCTGTGCAACATTATTCAACTAACATATTTAATGCAGTTTGTAAAACACCTAAGATGCGAGCAATTAACCATTTCAGCCTTAATAGGAGTTTGCAAAATCATTGATTGTAGACGTTTTTTTTTAATACTTCTCATAATTAGACCATTCTGACTTTAGTCAGATGCTTAGAGATCTATTTCAGGTCTTTTATCTAAAACAAAAACATTTCGAAGGACGCCATTTGTTCATACTTTTACTGGATTTTGCTGCTAGAAACTCGTTGATAAAGTTACCAAACAATTAGCAGACAGTACTAAGTTAAACAAAATAACTAGTTAAATCAAAAATCACAGTTTATTTTTGCATGACATTTTTGGATTACCCATTGGAAAGCCTTCGCTGAATTAGCCTAAGAGGCGTACGGTAGCAGTTTTTTTCAGAATATACTGTTTTTAATGAATCACATTAACTTACCAGTAATATTTCAGTAGTTGTTTGAAAAAACAAAATGACAGATTCTATTTATTGAATTTTCTACTTATGGAAAATTATAGATGCATGCACACTGATAGAAAAATCGTAAGAAATGCGATAGATATGACGCAATGGTGCGGTACGCCAAAAGTTTACAATTACCCACCTGGTTTACGTCAAAGTAAAATGTGTACATTTTTGTTATGTATTGTGTGTATAACATTAAATTGCTTCCATATGACAGAGTTGGCTCTGTTAGGGGTTATTAGGGAAAATATTAATGCAGCCGCATTTAATCATATCTTGTTTTTAAAATGCGTCTAAATGCATAACTTTTTGTAGTGACACCACCACCAACTCGAAACCTCAAATATTAACAGGGATATCTGAGATTGCGTCAACACTGAAGTCAAAATAGTATGATGATGCTTAATTTTATGAAACAAGTTTATTGATGTTTTAAATTAGAACAAAAGACAACTTCCTTGCACAATTGTATCATACTACACAACTTTTTCAAGAATGACTTTCCAGAAATATTAATCATTGTCAAAAGATGGCGCTGAACTTTTTGACTAAATCTATTCTTGATTATTTTTTTTTCTCAATTAACGATATCACCTGTATTCAGTTTTCTTGATGTTTTTCTCTGACGTGAAACTGGGTTGTTACGTATTTAAATATTGCATAAATATTTTCATATGTGATTGTCTTGCATCTTGATCGAGACGCTTCATAACCTTAAATTATTGATTATGTTTATCTACATTTATTTTTCGAGCATTTTTATAAGTATCATCTCATGACCATATATTGAAGAAAAAATCTAATCAAGTATTCTATAACTCGATCTATTAACTGGAAATTAAAATTTCAGATTATGCTACGTTACTCATCAGTATTTCAGCAAGCAGAAAGGCACAGTACCAAATTTAAGCCACATAAACATATCGCACAAAATCGCTTTTGATAAGTTTTTCATTTGCTCTGTATGCTTCTTATGTAAAAAAGTAGTTTTAAAGAGAATGTTGCTATAAAGGGCTAAATATGTAAACCTTCTTAGTAAATAAAACTGCATTGTTAAATTCTGTAATTAAATGCATGTCACGTCATAATAAATAAGGGAAACTACCTCCTCAACAGCACAGGATTAACGCCCAAGACTTCTAATCTTGACAAATAGTTTAATATTTGTCCATTGAATTTATGCGTGTTAGTGTTTACTGGAACCTTTTTATTTTTGTACAAACGTGGCTTGCATTATATGGTGTGAAAATTCACCCTACTGTTATCCGTCTATGTATGATTTTGAGCGTTAACGAAATTTCATTTCTTTCCTATAGAAACAACTTTGCACACTGTGCTCCAGATAAGGGGCGTACAGACGTAATTCCCGACCAAAAATCAATCACTTACGGCCTTAAAAAATATTGAGAAGTTCTTTTACTGCCGAATAGGCTTCTGAAGCTTTAACGGTAGTACAATAATTAATGGGTGCATTCTTGTAGCTTTCGGAAGTTCTGCACAATATCTGCATAGTTCACACAGTAGAGCTACAAAAATAAGCACTATATAACCATAAAAAGTTTCTATTGGTGCACTCGTGAATGATCCAATTTGTGTAAAAAAAAAAGTTGTAATGTCATTATTTGCGTATGACTATATATGATGATTTTAACTTGAAAATTAATCATGTGCCAAATTTCACCTTCTTGAAATAAGAAAATAATTCATAATTAGTTAAATTACTTTTTATTACAAGATGTTACTTCTGCACTTTGTAAAAATTAAAAGTATTCCCACTGACAGAATTCTGGGTGTGATTACTCCTAACACAAAAACTTATCTGAAGCACTGCGTACATGTTAGAATTTTTCTTAGCTTATCTTGACAAGACTGTTTCAATGCTCCCTAGTGGCACAGCAATATGCGGACTTACAACGCTAAAAACCTAGTTTCGTTACCCATGGTGGGCAGAGTACAGATAGACCACTATAATTTTGTGCTTAACTACAAACAAAGACTGTTTCAAACTATTCAAGGCCTCTGCCTATTTCTTCTTACCGTCAGTATCGAAATCGTCTGTAGTTTGAAAAATAAACAGCTTTATTATTAGCAAGTTTGAATTAAACTAATGAGGAACAGGAAATAAAAAAATGAAACAAAAAAACTGTTATAACAGAAAAAAGGTTGAATATTAGTGACAACCGTATACTCTCGAGATAAAGAATTATAAAATTGTAACAGTAAAGTATCATGGTTTTATTTTAATTTACCCTAAGTGGCGTAACAGATATGGATTTTTTTCTGAGAATGTTAATATTTCAACATCAGTAAATTATTAGAATGAAAAATAATGACTTAATTTTATTGTAAAAAACCATATTTTGAGATTGTAAGTAACAAGAGTACAGTTGTTGAATAAATTTTCGCTCTAGTTTATTAGAAGTAAAAGAATGTTATAAATATTGTCAC